ATGAATGAACGAGCAGGTCACTGTTCATGTAGTGAAGGTAAATGGTTTTGCTTTTTGTAGTGGATCAGCCTTCTTCTGGAATATTTCAGCTTAATGGTATGTCTTTATCTGTCCCTGAAATACTGATTTAATAGATAAAGAACTTGAGAACTCACCTTATAGGTCAGACCATGGGTGAACCACAGGAAGGCAGATGGGAACTTCTGTTAGTAGATCTCATGCTTTGAAATATGAAATGACTCGTAGGTTTTCCTTCATTAAGAGCTACATAGAGCAGTGTTTTCCAGTCTCTTTCAGTATAAGTCATACCCCTGAACTTACTAGAGCTTGTCAATAAGTAGACCTCCAACTCCCTTTTAGTATCTATGATGTACTTGCTAGGGACTGCATATGGAATAAAGGAGTATGTGATATGGCTTCAGCCCTCCAGGTTGAAACTTGAGTGAAGATATTTCAGAATACTTTTTATTTTATTTTTTTATTGTACTTTAGATGAAAGTTTTACAGAACAAACTAGTTTCTCATTAAACAGTATGCATATTATTTTGTGACATTGGTTTATGACATTGTTGACACGACATGTCAACACTGTCCCTTCTCAATCTTGGGTTCCCTATTACCAGCTTTCCTGTCCCCTCCTGCCTTCTAGTCCTTGCCCCTGGACTGTTGTGCCCCATTAGTCTTGTTTTATGGGCCTGTCTAATCTTTGGCTGAAGGGTGAACCTCAGGAGTGACTTCATTACTGAGCTAAAAGGGTGTCCAGGGGCCATACTCTCGGGGTTTCTCCAGTCACTGTCAGGCCAGTAAGTCTGGTCTTTTTTAGTGAGTTAGAATTTTGTTATACATTTTTCTACAGCTCTGTCCGGGATCAGAATACTTACAACGTTCAAACTGTGTGGTGCTTACCATGTTTATAAGAGGTTCATTTTTTTTTTTAAAAAAGATACTCAAATCATTTGGTTTATTAAAGCAATTTAAAATATACAGTGAGAAGCAAGGGGAAAGAGATGGGTGTAGGTTACCACATTTAGTACAAGCCAGTCAAAGGGCCATGCTACCTATGAGTTACACAATGTTCATATGCCCTCTCTCTTTGTTGTAGGCCTTTTTGATTTTAGGGAGCAAGCACTCACCTTAAGTTTTCTTGAAGGAGAGGTTGGGTTCTCATGGGAATCCAAGAAATGAGAGACAAGGAGTGGTCCATTGGTCCTCAGGATTGGGAGTTCTTGGTTATTCTTGCTTGTTCAACCGTTAGCGAGCTTTGCCTTAGTTGCCTTGAGTTGGCCTTGCTGTCCACTTACCTTTAAGTTGCTGTCCTTGCCTCCTACTGCTGCCATAACAAAATACCTCCAAGTGGATGGCTTTAAATAACAGAAATTTACTGTCTCACAGGTCTGGAGGCTAGAAGTCCAAATTAGGGACTTGGCCATGTTGATTTTTTGTGGGGGCTTTGAGAGAGGAACTGTTCCATGCTTTTCTCCCAGCTTTTGGTGGCTGCTGGCAATCTTTGGCATTCTTTGGCTTGTAGGTGGATCCTCACATGCCATCTTACCCTTGTGTGTGATTCTGTATCCCTGTCTGTCCTTCTCTTTCATAAAACACCACTCAGAAGGGATTTGGATTAGGGCCCACCCTACTCCACTACGACGTCCTAATTTAACTGATTACTATCTGAAAAGAAAAAGCCTATTTCCCCAAACAAGATCACATTCCCTGGTGCAGGGGTTAGGACTTCATCATGTATCTTTTTGAGGGGCACAGTTCAATCCAGTACAGCTGCCAACAGCCATCCTTACCTCCTACTGTTTATATCACTTCTCTGCCTACCTCACAGGTTCTGCTGATCCTTAGTTCTGACTCCCTCCTAATTTGAAGACCCACCTGGCCCTTACTCTTCACTGTGGCCCTGTTGTACATGTGTTCCGGGCCTGCTTTCTCTGATTGTTTATTTTTCTAATCTACATTCCCCACAAAAGAGCATTTGGCCTAACTTGTTCTTGCTAGAGAAGAGCTTTCTATGCCAGAGCATCCCAAAGGCCAGCGTTCTATGTGTTCAGCCCACCCTGACTCTGACTTCTTCAGGTGAGATCAGAGGTCAGGCGGGTCACATGGCCCACACATGGCTGCCGGGCCACCTTTGTAGCAAAGCTGTGAGCTGAGCAGTGCCTCTGGAATGGCAGGTATGGGAGGGACATGAGGGAGCCCTGCGGGGCGGTGGGATGTGAAGAGTGGGTAGGATTTGAGTAGGCAGGGAACAGAGGAAGGGCATTCTGGGAAGAAGCCGCCAATCTAACTGACGAAGAGGGGGCATGTGGGCAATGGAGGCATCTGTGAGCAAGCAAGGAGGAGGCTGGATGTTTTGTTAGGTAACAGGCCATCAGAGGACTCAATTACCTTCTCCTGTCTGTTCCCAGGTGGCACAGTAGTTAAGAGCTTGGCTGCTAACCAAAAGGTCTGCTCCTTGGAAATCCTGTGGGGCAGTTCTACTGTGTCCTATAGTGTCCTATGAATTGGAATCCACTCAACAACAATGGTTTTTTTTTGGAACAGACTCAAGACTTTCTAAAAGGCCACTAAAACCACTCAGGAGTGAGGGGATGTAGGAGAGGAAAGAGAGTGAGCAGGTGGTCCTGGCCTGAGGAAAGAACAAACATGGATAATAGTAAAAACAGCAACAACTGGGTATGACCGAGCAGTGACCAGGAGGGAAGAGTCCTGGGACGTATTCTAGGGGAGTAGGGGCTTCCATGTCGGAACCAGGGATGCAGCAGCCAACTCCCAGCATGGAAATGTCTGTGCCCTCATTCCCTGTGAAGTGGGGGAACAAAGCTCTCTACCTGGATTCCACCTACTTTGAGAAACATTTCTGCACACTTAATTGTTCACTTATAAATGTCTGTTCTCGTCTCCCCTGCCTATGCTCAGGCTTTTGTGTTCCTTTATGTCAGCACTTTCTCTCAGGGCTGACCTGGAGGGCCAGCGTTTCTGGGAGTTTTCCACATTGTAACACGGCCATTAATCCAGTCCAATTCAAGCCAATGTTCCTCCACCCTGTGTTCTACCTCCACAACGCAGGCAGACATCTGGCTTCATTCAGAGAATGTGCTGCTAGAGCATGGCTTTGGAATTTGGTGGGCGCATTTGGAAAGTTGTGTGGTCCAATGACTGCTTGGACTGACTTTTGGTCCACCTTGCTTTCTTTCTTTATGTTGTTTGCTTATTACCAGAATGGTAGGGGTAAACTTCCGCATATAGATAATGTCCCAGTGTAAAGAATCCTGATATGCAAGAACCTGGCTGAGCACCAGATAAAAAAGAGGATAAATATTTGTTGATGGCAGGGTCTCACTGAAGCGTATGGGCACGTTGCTTAAACTTGCTGAGGCTCGGTTTCCTCATCTGGAGAAAGGGCAGTGACGCCTGCTGTGCCTTCCTCTGTAAGTCTTGAGCTGCGCAAATGAGAGAGGGGGTGTGAAATACTCGTACATTCCAGAACACTCTATGCATTTACGGTATTAAAATCGTGATTTCCGGACATTTAAACGTGGTTTGATTTACATTTAGTAGAAACTCATCTGTTATGAAAAGTGATCTATTTATTACTAATGACTAACACCCATATAGCTCTCAACTTCTTTATGTTACCTTCCTCTGACCCTCCTCAAGGATTCAGATGATTTATATGAGGAATACCCCCTCTGCTGGGGATGTTCTCACTCAGCACTTGTGCTGATATTTCTACAGGAGATACTTGATCTCATTCTCCCGGCCCTCCCAAAATACCCTTAGTGTCTATGTAAAAAACACCAAGCCTGTTGCCGTTGGATCGATTCTGACTCATAGCGACCCTATAGGACGAGTAGAACTGCCCCGTAGGGTTTCCAAGGAGCAGATGGTGGATTTGAACTGTCAAACGTTTGGTCAGCAGTCGAGCTCTTAACCACGGTGCCACCAGGGCTCCAGTGTCTTAAGTAATAGATACTAAATTTCAAAACTGACATCTCAAGGTTATGTCACAGCTCAGAGTTTTATACAGTCCTCATTGTCCTCTGAACGTTGTCAGAGGAGAGACAGGTGTTCTGGGAAAATTTTATTCCTGGAATGGTGTGTGTGTGTGTCAGGGCAGAGGCGGGAGAAAAGGTGCTGTCTTGTTTAGGAACAGTGGGTAAAATACCCTCCTAATTATGAATTCCTTGAGGGAGTGTTCAGAAGCAAGCAACTTGATGGCTATTTAGCAGTAATACTTCTTCCTTTCTTTGCTAAGTCTTCTTTCGTCCTTTAGACCCACCTTCCTTGTGTTCACAGCTTGGTTCCAGGAAGATGGGCCTTGGCATGGAGCACTCCTTAGTCTTAGAATGGATGGAAGAGATGGAACAAAGCCCTAGGATCCTCCCCCCAGCATCACTCTTTTTCCTTCTCTCCCCATTGGCCAGCATAGCCTCCTGTTCTCCTATATTTCTCTGCTTCGCTGTGACCTTAAATCCTCAAATTTGGCTTGCACACCCCCTAGTGGCAGGTCTGATGCATCCCTTGTTACCCTGTTTATTGTCTCCACCCAGCTCTCTTACTAAGTGTTAGTCCCAGCTCACAAATGTAGAATCAGAGGTCTGGTAGTTTTTTCACACGGTTTTTTAAAGAATCCTGATTACTTTACTATCCAGTCAGCTAATCTGAAAGGATCAAAATGTGGTGAATATTTGAATGGTTGTCTTTTTTACTCTTGCTTTATCACATTAGAAGACATTTTGTCATTTACCAAGTGTTCAGTATTTCCTGCTCAGTCCTGTTAACAACTTTGGGGAATACAAAAAAGTGCAAAGCATGCTGTCTGCCCTGAAGAATCTTATGTTCTAGTGGCATTCTAGTTATGTGTTGTTTAAATTTATTCCCTTGAGGAAAATATAAGTATATGCATAATAATTTTATTGCTGTTGATTTTTCTATTTCGTCTCAATAAAAACAGATTCTCTGAGCATTGGCTGCTTTCTTTCTTTTTCAAGTCCTTTTCAGTGGAGAGAGAACCGCAAGATAGCAACAGTAGTTACCCAGACGAACCCTGGAGGATAACAGAGGAACAGCGAGAGTATTATGTCAATCAGTTCCGGTCCCTGCAGCCAGACCCAAGTTCCTTCATTTCGGGTAATGAGCATGGTTGAGGGAAAACGTGGGGTCCCAGGTCATCATTCTCTCATAAGTCACAGAAAACATCTTGAGAAATAGTTCAAACACAATGAGTGCGACAACCTTCTGCAATTTCAATTTGTTTTCCTTCAAGACTGAATTTCTCATCAACTATAAACCAGGCAGAAAAAACAAAAACAACAACAACAACAAAAAAAAAAAACAACGACAACTGGCAGTGACTCATGCATTTGGGAAATTGTGGCTTAGTTTCAAAGGGGTTAAGTGGGAATTTGGGGAAACCTGGTCCCGATTGTGCACCCTTTTAGTTGGAGCAGTTCTTGAAATGATTGAGCTTGGCACCAAGGCAATACCTTAAATTGCTTACTAATTATATTAGAGTTAGATCAAGGACATATATTAGTCTTCTAAGGAATTAGTATCACAAATCTCCTATGTTATACAGGTAGTCTTCGACTTATGACATATTTGAGTTACAACAAACCACACTTAGGACTATCCATTTTTTTTGTACATCTTACCGTTAGCAATATATTACAGTGCGTAATTTACTGTGTTATCATTCTCAGATGTTCACTTGCAGATGTTCAATTTTATGGTTTACCATTCAAAACACTGCCAGATTTGTAAAGATACTGATACTAAAAAGGCAACAATAATGAAAACTAAAAAGGGGTATTCGACTCACATCAGAACCAACTTACGATGGATTCGTTGGAACGGAAGCCCGTTGTAAGTCAGGGACTGCTTGTATACGCCTCATGGGTTCAAATTCATGTTCATATTCTTTGGCTCAAGTCTTTATCTTCTGTTTCTTTCTGAGAGAAATTAAAATGTAGATGGAAAATTGGCCAGCATTTTTATGTCCATATATCAGTTTCTCTGGGTTGTCTTCAGGAATATGTATTCTTGTTGAGTTCTTATGCAAAATTCAAACTGAAAGGAACTGATTTAATTTCTGTGCACCAATATTTTACCAGGCGAATGACTAAACAGCGAAATAGAAGAGTTTGGAAGAAAAAGTCTTAAAATTTTCTTTTATACTTCAATCTTGAAGAGTAACAATATGTTATTGATAATTATAACCTGACATATAGAAGTGTGGAATAAGACAAATTTTCTCTCATGAAATAAGGTGTGTAATTAAAAATATACTTATATAAATGCAAACACCATTTACTGATTGGTGGTAATGGCTATTGAAGGCAGAATATTGAAGATTGCAAAAAATCAATGTTGACAACATGATAGAAAAAAATAAGCGAAAACCCAGATGGCATGTATTTATCACTTGCTAACCTCAGCAGCTGCTTGAGAAAGCCTCTTCACAATGTATGCAGATATTTAACCAAGTACAAATAGGTATTTGGTAGGAATGTTTTTCTTTTCTTTTAATTTCCCATTATGCAGAATTTCAAATGTAGGTAAAACTAGTGTGGCTATCACACAGCTCCAACGATTTTGTTTTATCTCTGTATCTCACCCATACGATTTTGAAGCAATAACCAGACCATTTCATCTGAAAATATTTCAGGATGTATCTCTAAAGATAAAGCTTCTTCTTTTTTTTTTTATTGTGCTTTAGATGAGGTTTTACAGAGCAAATTGGTTTCTCATTAAACAATTAATACACATATTGTTTTGTGACATTGGTTGCCAGCCCCATGACATGCCAACCTTCTCCCCTTCTCAACCTTGGGTTCCCCATTACCAGCTTTCCTGTCCCCTCCTGCCTTCTTGTCCTTGCTCCTGGGCTGGTGTGCCTGTTTAGTCTCGGTTTGTTTTATGGGCCTGTCTAATCTTTGGCTGAAGGGTGAACCTCAGGAGTGACTTCACTACTGAGTTAAAAGGGTGCCTGGAGGCCATACTCTTGGGTTTAAGTAAAGTGTCTTTTGAAAACAGCCACAATTCTTTGATAGACTTAAAGCAATGAACACCGATTCCTTAATATCATCAAGTCTTCATTGTTCAAATTCCCATGATTGTCTCATAAATGCCCTTTTTAAAGCTTAGTTTGAAAAGATCAAGAGAGGTTCTTATATATTGCGATTAGTTTTTTTTTTAACATCTTAATTAAAATGTAATTTACATAACATAAAATTCACCCGTGTAAGTGTATTATTGACATAGGTAAATTTGCAATGAATAAGGAAAGTTGCCCACCACCAGTCTATCAGTTTATCACACTGTGGTGGCTTTTATGTTGCTGTGATGCTGGAAGATATGCCACTAGTATTTCACATACCAGCATGGATACCCATGGTGGACAGGTTTCAGTGGAGCTTCTAGACTAAGAAAGACTAGGAAGAAAGGTGTGGTGACCCACTTCTGAAAATTAGCCAGTGAAAACCCTGTGGATCACAACAGAATACTGTCTGATATAGTGCTGGAAGATGAGCCCCCTAGATTGGAAGGCACTCAAAGTACATAGTGGTCGCAACAATGGACTAGAGCAGACCAACAATTGTGAAGATGGCACAGGGCTGGGCAACGTTTCGTTCTGTTGTATGTAGGGTCTCCATGAGTCTGAGCCATGGCAGCTAACAACAGCAACAACAAAGAAAGTGGCAAGAGGTTCCTGGATAAGTTTCTCGAAGAACCACCAAGAGAGCTTAAATCTTACCAAAAAATCTTTCCCAAGATGTCTGTCTGATTTCTGTGCAGTGGAGTTAATGACGCTAATTTTCTTCTTATTGCTCTCTTTTCTACCATGACCTTGTGTTCCTTTTCACCCTTTAACTATAAGTGCTTGACAGATTTTTACTTTCATACTTTTGAAACTAGTCTTTTAAATTTTTAGTAAAGCGCTACCAATTTTTAGTAAAAATGAAGAAGACATATAATCTTCATCTGTCGTAATGAGTATTAGGTCGTCATTTCTTTTGCCCTATTCTAATTCATATATCCTTTTAAAGCCTTTTTATATGTTGCTTTTAGTCACATGATTCATAGTTAACTTTGATGAATAAATGCTATGTTTGTGGCTATGTTAGGGATTACCAAATGAAGAAATGGTGATTTATTGTTATGCAGTTATAAATGCTGTACTAGATAAGTAATTAATGGTTTATTTAAACAATAACTCTTGACAGGTTCTGTGGCTAAGAACTTCTTCACTAAATCAAAGCTTTCCATTCCAGAACTCTCCTATATATGGTAAGTACAATTAATGCCACATAGCATCTCCCATCCTTTGGCTTCTACCTTTGCTTTTTTTAAGGTCTTATCTTTTGAATGTTTTGAATAGACTAATAAGAGAGTGACTAGAACTCTGATTTTTGTTACTGTGAAGATTAAATAAGCTATTGTCCGAAAAGGACAATGAAGAGTGCCTGGCACACACTGAGCACTATAAATGTTAGCTATTATTTTTAAAGGCATTTCCTAATTATTATCGTCATTGAAACCCCTTTTCCATTTAAGCAATTGTGGACGTATTAGAATATCCATCTTGTGTATTCTGTTTTCAGAATTCTTCTACTCGGTGTGATACAAGTAACCAGAGGACCTTGAAAACCCTATTCTTTCTAATATTTTATAAGGCCGAGTGAACAGATAAGGCCAAGGAATGTTTTGGCATTAAATTCGACCGTTCTGGCTGCCTCTGAGCGTCATCAGTTGGCTGTGTCTGTCAGCTGGGCCTGGATTCAGATTTGCAGCTGTGGCCTCCTCGCACCGTACTGCTGAGCCTGTCACAGCTCGGGCCCCAGAAGGGCTGGGCCAGCATGCACAGATGGCTGCATTTGCATTTATGAAAATGCTCGGTGCCTCTGCAAACCCCCGGCTGTGTGTGGGCTAGTTCTACCCAGGACTGGGCAGGAGACCACACTGCGATAAGTACATAATGAAAACATTGGAATGTTTACGTAAAGCTTTTTTTCACGAGGATTTTGTGGAAATTATGAGCGGATTTAAAATCTTGTCATATTTTGTACAGCTTATTGGAAAACAATTACAGTGATACTTGAGCATGCCAGTGTAGCTGGGGCTCTGGAGCTGGGTTTAGGTTCTTTAGCAATATATTCTGGCTTAATTCTTTTTTTAAAACAACAAGCATTATTATTAGATTTTAAAGCTAGGAAAAAGTAATCAAATTATCATTTTGAAAAGAATACATTCTGTTTTGGCAGAACTCGCAGTCTTAACATTATCGGCAAGAGGCTTCCTGTCTTTTGTGGTGACATATCCTTGAAAGCTAAATGGTGTTATCTCCCTCCAGCCCTTGAAGCAGTTCCTTGGTTCCTCCCTCTGGGGAACAGCTATTTCAGGGTTAAAAAAAAAAACAAAAAACAAAATGAAACAAAACAAACCTTTGGCTGTCGATTCCAACTCATAGCGACCCAGGGTCCGGTAGAACTGCCTCATAGGGTTTCTAAGGCTGTAGTCTTTATGGAAGCAGACTGCCACATCTTTCTCCTGCAAAGCAGCTGGTAGATTCAAACTGCCAACCTTTTGGTTAGCAGCCGAGCATTTAACCCCTGTGCCACCAGGGCTCCTGTTTCAAGGTTAGTGTATTCTAAATATTTGAGGAGGATTCAGGGGTTAGTGTATTCTAAATATTTGAGGAGGACTCTGGGTTAGTGTACTCTAAATATTTGAGGAGGATTCAGAGTTAGTGTACTCTAAATATTTGAAGAGGATTCAGGGTTCGTATATTCTAAATATTTGAGGAGGAGATGAATGGTCCAAAGGAAGTTACGGAGCTTACCTTAGATCGTTTTTCTTTCAATTAGGAACACCATTCTAGTACAATTTGATATAAGTTTAATCTCTAGACTTGCCCTAATATATGTATACTTGTCTGTGTACACCTAAGAGAACGGTTGTGCTTATGGAGCCTTAGTTACTTTGGCAAATAGTTTTCTTTTGCACTGAGTAAATAGATCTGTGCCTTTTAGTGTGAAACAATGAGATAAGCTTTTTCATGAATCTTCCTTTGTTCCTTTCTGTCTTATCTGGTTCCAGCTTCCCTAGTTTGCTAGCTTTATCTTAAAATATAATTCGAGAAATATTTATTGAGCTGACTTATATTTTCCCAGGAGGCAACTCTTGAGCAAAGAACAATTTGATACAAAAATTTACATGACTGGAAAAGCTCAGGGTTTTTCCTTAAAGTTGAAAAATGAAGACCTGGAGCAATGAAATATGTGCTTTATATAAACTGTTTTGTTGTTGTGTCAAGTCGATGCTGACTCACAGTGACCCTACAGGACAGGGTAGAACTGTCCCATAGGGTTTCCAAGGAGCAGCTGGTAGATTTGAACTGCCGACCTTTTTGGTTAGCGGTTGAACTCCTAATCACTACATCACCAGGGCTTCGTAAACTGCATAAGGGCTGGGAAAATGGTGAGCACTGTTGGAGCCCCGAGTTCAGGGCTCTTCCCACCAGGCTGCCTGTACTGACTGAACGCCTGTCTAAGAGCCGCGGAACTCCGTGCAGCCTTCTTCTTCTTGTGCAGTTTTTTAAAAAAAATTGTGGCAAATACGTATGTAACAAAACATTTGCCATTTCAGCATTCTTAGGAGTGTACAATTCAGCGACGTTAGTTATGTTTATCATGTTGTTATGTTGTTCAAGAGGAGCCCTGGTGACACAGTGGTTAAGGGCTCGGCTGCGAACTGAAAGGTTGGTGGTTCAAACCTACCAGCTGCTCTACAGGAGAAAGACCTGGCAGTCTGCTCCCATAAAGATTACAGCCTAGAAAACCCTATAGGGCAGTTCTACTCTGTCATATAGGGTCGCTATGAGTCTGAATCGACTCGATGGCATACGACAGTGACAACAGAGCATAAGCAAGGAGCCCTGGTGGCGCAGTGGTTAAGTGCTCGGCTGCTAACCGAGAGGTTGGAGGTTTGAATCCACCCAGTCACTCGCTGGGAGAAAAGACCCAACAATCTACTCCTGTAATGATTACAGTCCAGGAAACCCTATGGGGCAGTTCTACTCTGTCACATGGGGTCATTGTGAGTCGATTTTTGAACAACGTGTTGTTCAACCATCATCCATTATCTGTTTCCAAAATTTTCTATCACTATTAATAGAAACTCAGTGTCCCTTAAGCAGTGAGTCCCCCTATCATTTCTTGTCCTGTATACTCAGGCTTGTAAAACAGACCTACCAGAGAGCCTGAATAATTTACGTTTTTATTTATATAGTGCTGCTGATGCCAATGCTGTCAATCAGCATTTGTCTTCCTTCAAGTGGCCCCTTAGATTTCAAATGATTTTGGCCAGGAGGGTTTGGGGATCTTACAGGACCACCACAAGAGAGTCTGGACGTCATGTGTGCACGTTGAAGCCTGAGTAACTTTTCTTCTGTCTTAGTCATCTAGTGCTGCTATAACAGAAATACCACAAGTGGATGGCTTTAACAAACAGAAATTTATTTTCTCACACGCTAGGAGGCTAGAAGTCCGAATTCAGTGTGCCAGCTCCAGGGGAAGGCTTTCTCTCTCTGTGGGCTCTGGGGGAAGGTCTTTGTCATCAATCTTCCCTTGGTCTAAGAGCTTCACAGTGCAGGAACCCCGGGTCCAAACGACACGCTCTGCTCCTGGCACTTCTTTCTTGGTGGCATGAGATCCCACCCCTCTCTGCTTGATTCTCTCTTTTATATCTCAAAAGAGATTGACTCAACATACAGCCTAATCCTATAGATTGAGTTCTGCCTCATTAACATAACTGCCTCTACTCCTGCCTCATTAACATCATGGAGGTTAGGATTTAGAACACACAGGCTAATCATATCAGATCATGGAACAGTGGACAGTCACACAGTGCTGGGAATCATGGCCTAGCCAGGCTGACACACATTTTGGGGGGACACAATTCAGTCCATAACACCTTCTAAGCCCAGTGTTGGTACTCACGACATCTGTTATTTTTAGGGAACTTAGTGATGCTGACTGCGACGGGGCCCTGACCCTGCCCGAGTTCTGTGCTGCGTTTCATCTCATTGTGGCCCGGAAGAACGGCTACCCGCTACCCGAGGGCCTGCCGCCAACTCTGCAGCCAGAGTACCTGCAAGCAGGTAAGGCCTCATCCTAAATTGTAAACCTTAGGCATTTTTCATCCAGGCCTTAGAAGTTTCTTAAAGTAGAGTCCAGTCACTCTGGGGAGTCTTTGGTATCTCTAGTTATTTTTCTTTAACTGGTATTAGACGTTCATATCTTATGAGTACTAGGGATGATCCAGGCAAGTCTGAGCCATCTCTGTTCCCCATGCCAGTGCCCTCTGGAGGAATTTGAACCAAAGTCACTTACCCTGTCATGAAAATTATGGAATGAGCACGTACTAAGCCTCCCAGCTGGTATCAGATGAAGAGGAAGATCTTCTTGTAGTGCCAAGTGCTAACTTGCCACTTTAGGCACATCCCAGTGTCCCCGAGTGGCCTTGGGGAATAGAATGGAATAGAAGAACTCTTCTATACAGTACAACGTGCAAAGTGCTGTAATTTTAAACCTGCAGCTTGATGAACTCGTACTTATGTTATACATCCATGTAACTACCACTCAGATTATGATCTAGAACCTGCTAGCACACCAGCAAGTTGGAGTAGAACTCTTTTCCTCTTTCTCCTTAATAAAACAGTCACTTGAAACCACTATTTTGAACCTTTGAATAGGAAAGAGTCATGGTGAGTCCAACATTTGTATCAATTCATTTGGCAGATTAGAAAAACCAATGGCGTCTCTTGCTCTTTTCTAATGGACAGTGGTCTGATTTCCATTATTCAGAGAAGTATAAATCCCATTGAAAGGATCCAGAAATGGCTGGTGCTTTCAGCAAACTTTCTCACCTTTTAGGGATGGTCTCTAAATAACGAGAGCTTCGTCAGGGGTGATCATTGGCAAGAAGGAGCAGTGTCTGAAGACACTGATTAGTCCTAATAGAGTATAAATTTTGTGGTTAGACCTGGGAGAGACCTTAGATTATCTTGTCTAGTCCCTTATGAGGACACCAGAGTCAAAGTGGCGTGGCAAATGACATGTCTAGGTCAGTCTTGGGGTCTCAGACTCCCTCAAATAAAAATTCGGTGATTTTCTGTATTAGGTAGTGAGGGGGTGGTGGTTCAGCCAACGGAAGAGACCAAGCACGTGGCTGCTGCCAGGGACAGGTAAACATGTTGGGGGAAGAGTGACCCACTCTGGGATCCATCCCAAATGCCTCCATAAAAATATGGAGGGGAGGTTCAGAGAGCAAAAGGAAGTGTTAATTTCAGGGCTTGGACTTTGCTGAAACCAGCTGCTTTCTGCCTATAGGAGACTGTATCTCCAGCTAGCTCCCTTCCCCTAAAGGCTTGGGAAGACCTTCACAGCTCCCAAGGAATTAGCTTGCAATTGGGCACCATGATAAACTGGTCTATTTCCTCTTTTTTTTTTTTTATTGTTGTGCTTTAAGTGAAACTGTTGCCCCGAGATAGCCTTTATTTACTTATTTTTAAATTGTTGTACTATAAGTGAAAGTTTACAATTCAACTTAGTCTCTCATACAAAACTTTATACACACATCGTTATGTGACCCTAGTTGCTCTCCATATACTGTGACAGCACACTCTTCCTTTCCACCCTGGATTTCCTGTGTCCCTTCAACCAGCTCCTGACCCTCTCTGCATTCCCATTTCACCTCCAGACACAAGCTGCCCATTTAGTCTCTTGTATCTACTTGAGCTAAGAGGCACAGTCCTCACGAGTATCATTTTATGTCCCACAGTTCAGTCCAATCCTTGTCTGAA